TAAGTCGCTATCACTAAACCACTTAACCTTTCAGTTGTAACTCAATCAAATTTAATGTCAATTTAATGAAGACAAGAGGATATTTTTGTGGATTCGCTGTGATCATCTCAAAGACTGTAGTCCTAGTTTATTCCTCCAACAGTTACAGTGAAATCGTGTTGATGATAAAGTTGGAGCAAAAACTGCAAAATACTTCACGACTTTCCAGCTTAATCTTTTTTTAATTTCCATTTACACGTTACCACTTTCCATTTCCCATTTTCGGAAAACAGTACATAACCAATTTGTTGGCATTGACAGAGAATAGTTCGACTGAATGATTACCTGTAATTTTGTGTTGATCCGACCGTTGACGTTTTTTGAGCCCTATATCTTACAACCTCTTTCTGAGCTAGCAGAAAACTGGAATATAAACGCGCGAGCCTTAGCGGAGTCCGTGAGAATTCACAAACACTGAGGTTTGCCAACTATTGCTAAGCGTGGTTCATGTAGCTCAGCAGAGAAAGTTTTATCTGCTAATCTGTCAGAGACACACCTGTTGCGTTTCAATAGAGAGGAAAGAGATATGATTATGCTCGTCACTGTAACACTTCATTGTACTTATAAGAGCCTATTGTTTCCGTGTCAGTTCTTAAAATCATTGAGTGGTAATGTCTTGCGATGGTTTTTGTCACTTGCAATCTTTGGGCTACCCGTTTGGGATTATAGTCGAAATTACTTACAGTAGAAGATACATGAAGCACATCTGTGTGAGACGGACAACCGATAGCGTAACAACAAACTCCGACATGCCACCAAGTGTCTGTTGCCAGCGATTTACAGAGTCAATGAAATACTATGCAGCCTACTGAGGTTTTGGAAATTGCGAATGTTTGCATGTGCATATTTACAGGTTCTGATCCAAATCGTGAGTGGCTGAAGTTTTCAACAGATCTCTTTATCTTGGCGCTTTTATCCTCTTACAAGGGACTGGACACGGTATTAAACCAGACCACAAGTACTCAACATACATGTAACACTGTCCGCTTATATCGTTGCTTCTTTTAGGTTAGTGTCTTATTAACTTCCCGTATTTTTTCAACAATCTTTGTAAGACGGCCAGACCAACAAAAAGACGACCAGGGACTTTATTTATGAAAATGGTGGATTTACCCGTATTACAATTTCATTTTTGCAATCCTGTGTGCCTTCTTTCATTCTTGATTACTTGGATCAGTTGTTTTGGTATGAAGTCCATCAAACAGATAATCAAGTCGCAATTATCACTTTTCACTAGAACATGACAAAACCTGAAATCTAATGTCCCCGAACACCGTAGATAAGTGATCAGTGTCCTCAACACAATGAAAACGTGTTCACCTACATTCAGACCTGAGCTCTCAGATCACTGCATTGATCCAATTGAGGGATTTTTGTCCAATTCAGAAATTGTCTAGATTTGAGAAAACAACATATAATGAAGTCCTAAATGACTTCTATGCTTGGATTTAGTGCATAGAAGCCCCAAAATAATGATTCTCTGTTCGGTGTCTTAATCGTCTGCAATCAGATATTTCTCATTGAAATAGACTGAGCACCACAAGGGTGATCGGTACGATTTGAAAGGGGTGGGAATAACAAATTCGTAACTTTCTTCGTTTTGGTGTTCAATAGCATTGCTTAATCTCAGCTAAAGTTCAAATTCAGTCATCCTTTTTCAAGGAATGCTCTTGACCCATAGATGGGATTTTGAAAACTGAAAGTGAAAATGGTCCGATCAACTGCCCGGTGACCCATTGGGGAAGTTCGGTTGCGTTCTACTGATGAGATCTCTGGTTTGACCTCCGGTCTGATCACACCAGAGATGAGCGCCCTAAAAACAGCTGTACAGGGTGTGCATCCTTGCCCTTCAGTTCATGTTTCGTTTACTCTCTTTGTACACGACAAACTATGCTGCAACCACGACTTTGATAAACACTTATGTGCACACTTTCTCGGTACTATCAAAAACATAATTCACACCCCTATAGAAACTGAATATAGTCAAGTCTGAGTAAGAACAAAATCAGTCTAACAGAGATCACCGAGATCTTTCGTTTTGCATTAGCCCCACCCACCCCCACCCCAATATTTCTCAATTTAATCATTGCCTACTGAAAATAAGCAGTGAGTTCGTACGAATGAACAACTTATTTAAGGCACTTTGTGCTTTGTTTGTGAAACGTAGTCACGCGAAAAGCTAATTATCATGAGTAAATCAGAGAAAATCTGTTTGTTCATTAGTTTAAACTAGAATCTATGCCAGATACGTCCAGAATTGAATGTGTACGTATTTGTCATCTATTTGCGAAATCGTGTAATTGAATTTTCACACTGAATAATGGAAACAGAATTACAAAACAACAACAAGCAGTCAGTTTAGCGTGTGTTATTCGTTAAATACTGGAAATCCTCACATTTAAATCTCACACAAGGTACTTGGAACTGTTTTGTTGATTCATTTATTTTTTTTTGATTTTTTAAAGGTGCCCTCATTGATTGAATCCTCAACAGTGTTCATTCACATCCAATAGTTTGTAATTGATCGTATTTCTGCGAAAATAATTCAATGTTTGGCTTAAGGCTCAGTTATCATTGCTGAGACTTTAGATTTTATAGGTTAGTTTCAAAACACTGTGAATTCCGGACTATTATCATCCAAAGTTTGCTTTACAAGTTTAAGCCAAAAGTTAAATATTCTTCCAGCCTTGACCACAACACGACAGATTTGTACCAGATCTGGTTCATGCTTCTTCAGTATATGGGTAGATTTGATTGTGTAACGAATACAGGCGATCGAAGTTCGATGTTTCCAAGAACTGTCTCTTTGGCAGAAGTTTGGCTATCAGCTCAATTCTCTTATAGGAGTGGCTGCACAGTTTTGAAAAACAAAAAACAAACAAAAGCTTTATTTTGATTTCCAGTTTAAACTTTTGAGACTAATATTCCTAAAGATGGCTCAAATCTATGGTCGCGAGGACTTACTTTTCAGCAATGCGGACCAAAAGCTTTGGCTCTTTTGCCATTTTGCCGAGCTTGGCAATTCGTTTGCAGACGTGTCATCACCAACCGAGGTGACACCATCAGTGCTTGTGAAGTGGCTTGGTGAATGGGCGAAATGGAATTCAGTTCACCCGAGTTATTTGAACCAATTTTCAATACTTTGTCAGCTTTAGCTCTGAAATGTAAAATTTGAACCCTAATCAACTCCTAGTCGGTCCCGGAGAGTATTGAATCGCAGGGTGCAATAAACTTCCCCGGGACCAAAGTCGGATGAGGCCAAAAACAGGTTCGCACCTTGGACCTTGAAGATCAGTTTTACCGTTGCCTACCACAGTGTGATCAACGGCAGACCAGGTAAACCCAAAAGTCACAAAGACCTACTGGTCGCTCGCGATAATCGACAGTCAAAGCTCTGTAATTCACAGTAGCCAACCACTCTATATTCCAGTCGGGTGAGCAAGGTAGCGAACCGGAAGAGTCGCCCCCACTAAACTTTGGCAGCGGTGACATGGTCTGCATCACGGACCCACGTCCATGATAGCACTCACCACCGTCTGACGGGAATCCATTCGACATGTTCTCGTTTTCTTTGGCGAAATTACCCCAAGAGTACAATCCACACTTCTCGTGTATGTTTCAGTCCTGAGAATGCATTTGTTCCTCAGATGTTACATTCACTTCATTTGCAAATAAATTCAACGTACATTTTACCGAGATGTTCACAAGATGGAACTAACTTTGGGTAATATCCGAACTCTGAACCGACAATGTTGCCCTTGGAAGATTCACATACTTACCGGTCAAAGTTGAATGCTCATAAGTAATGTAAGTTGACCGGTATCGAGAAGATAACCATTTTTTATCATGGAGCTGATAACCAGTACCAATCATGTATGGGCTGATCTATACCACTCACTCTCTCGTTCATTTATACTAAATATCCATCTATTTTTAGTCGAACACATTCCACGGACCTTTTCGTCACGCATCGATCACCTAGTTGGTCTAATCCACCGTATCGTACGCAGTCCTATAATCAACTATTCAACAAAACCTATGAAATACAGACTCCTCGTAACTCTATCACGCGAGACTATCACGCACCTCGTTTCAAAGACCAGAATGGAATCCATCCTGTTAAGCGACCTTATCGATCAGTTACAGGAGATGGATCGATGAACCGTTATCCGCTCGTATGTACCTATCAGATTCCAATTACTGCACGAAGCAGAACGCATAGCCATGGTGCGCTATCGATCGACAGTCCCGCCCGTTCCAATCAAGCACTGCATGGCACATTTCCGCGGCAGGATCGATCTCCTGTCGGTCGTTTCAGGCGTCATAGGGGACGCAGTGCACCGTGGGCGTCCAGTGCGCCATCGATTATTGCCGCGA